GGAAGAAGAGGCACTGGGTTGGATACGAGCTTGATTACCTTCTGATATCAGCATGGCACAACATAGAGCCAACCTGAGATCCCAACAATAAACATAAGCCTGAACATCACAAGTTCATACAAACAAAAACATTTGCATTCAAGCATAAAACCCAGTTAGGCATTTTCTGGAGTCTGACTTCACTGTCATGTCGTGACTTCTGGCTCACCTGTATTTGGCTCCAAACTGCAGCACCCTCCCTGCTCCTTTAGATAAGGGAACCGGAGCAGTTCATCTTCTTGAACACTTAGAGAGTCACTCAGATACCTTTGTTCCTGATTCTTATTGGGACTCACAGTAACTATCACTTAGTCAACTTGATTGTTAAGCCACCATCTTCAGGACATAGCTAGGACAACTGTGTAACCAATATATATAATATATAATATATAATATATAATATATAATATATAATATATAATATATAATATATAATATATAATATATAATATATAATATATAATATATAATATATAATATATAATATATTTTTTTAATGCAATTCCCTTCAACAGGGCCCACTCTCAAAGTTGTGAGCAGCATTAGCAGCACGCAGAAAGAGCATCCTCCTTTGATGGATCTCCATGATCAACAACATCAGCTTTTTAGATAGAAAGACAACTTCGTTTCCATTTTGGTACAGTACCTTTCCCTAATTTTTACATATTGAATATCCTTCACAGGTCCTACAGACCTCAATACAACACTGAGGCAACTTTTCAATTGAAAGCAGAATTTTAGGTATTTTTCACCTACCACAGCTACACAGTGGGTGCATTTCCATGGAGGAGGTGCAGATCACTTGGGTTCTACTCATGATCAAGTCTACACCACTTCCTCCATTGACTGTCCTCTTTGATCTGCAATACTAACTACAAACATGGAACAAGAATCTGAAACCTCATTATTAAACATCAGAAGAAAAAAGGGAGAATAATCAGGTTGATCTTCCCCTAGAGCTGAGTTGGTTTCTTCTTGTTCGGGACTCAGTGACTTCTATGCTTGCCTTTTCGATTGAATCCAAAATAGATGGTAGAAACCAACACCACCAGGGTAAATCCTTTAGAATCTTCCCCAAAGCTCTTGCAACAGTTTCTAAGATTTGGCATCCCATGCAAGGTACACCAAGCAGCGTGGGGGACAAGAAGTGAGGTGTGCAGGGATCTGCTCTCTTATGGGAAAAAATGAGATAACCTCTTGCAAGATAACCAATAATTAGAATAATGCACACACTGTACAACGTGAGGTACCCAGGCCAGTATTAGCTACATCTCAGCCAAGAGCACTTGAACCATATGCTAACTCTCCATGCCACAGCAATTAGTGATAATGGTAAAAATCAGCACTTTCTTATACAGATTGCACTGTGACGGCACATACAGCCCAAAAAGGGACAGAAGAAAATCATGCTAAAAGTCCTTCTGTGTTAGAGGTAACACCCAATAAGCAAAGAAGCCCTTCTAGTATTAGTTTCAGAAGAGATAAGGCATTCGTTTGCAAAAACAGAAGATTCACTCCTGAAACTGTTACCATGTTTTGCTTGCTTTCCTTTCTAGAAGGAAAATAGATTATGCACAAACTTCCTCCAAGACCTGAAACTCGGTTTACAATGGCAGATCCACACACTATTGTGCATGGAGGGGGTGAGGGTATTGGGTAAGGAACTGTTTTGTTATCAAAAAAGAAAAGCACACAAAGAATTTCTTGGCTTCAAGACTCATTCAAGCCAGTGGGAACGCCATGGACTTCAGCAGCCTTTGAACAAGACCCTACAGATAGCAATCACAAGCTACTGCAATCAATTTTCTATATTAAACTCCCTCAACACCCTTTAGACAGACTTGGTCCAGAAAATTATGGCTACATGAAATCAGTCGTCTGCTTATTCCTCTCCATCAATAAGCAGCACACATCGCAGGGAAGAGTCCAGAAAGTGAAGATTCCTGGAACTGCTGCCCAGTAGAATTGGAGCTTGGGATTTAGCAGGTAGGGCAAGCCTGCATCAGCATAACTCAGGAAAGCCACTTAATTGATCACCATGAGTCAACTTGAGACAATGCCATCTAAAACATCTCACCCAAAAGATTGATCTCCGCAGTGCTTTGTTCCTCCACTTTAGCAAGCAATACGTTATTTGAAGGCGTACTTTGCCCTGGACAACCCAAAATTTATTTCCTATTGCAGTGCTTTATCTTAAAACAACCAGGAGATAGATATGACTGCAGTAATTTGAATAGCAAATACTAGAATTAGTTTTTATTTACCTGTTGATGGTCATGAAAGAAGCTAAGAGGAAGCAGAAGGAGGTTTCTACTTTAATCTTCTCGGAGAGCAGCAAGACAATAAAATCCCGCAAGATGAAGGCTTTTGTTAGCATAACATTGTTTAAAAATAGGAAAAAAAAATAACCTTGAATTGCTTTGCTGTTGAAATTTAAATTTCTGGGCCAATATGCATTAATGTGTTCCTGTTCCTAGAACAGTATCTGTAAGATCTAAAAATCTGTGCTTGCAACAACACTGACAATAACTTCTGACTAGTCCAACCTTTGCAACGCTTATATTTTACTCACACCATGCCAGCATTGTTCAGTGATTCACTGCTGCTTTCCACTATTATGTTCATTCATTTATTTTCTGGAAATGCAGTATTTTTCAATAAGCATTCTTAAAAAAAAAAAGCTGGTAGCACCAATTTCTACTGAACTTTAAACTGCAAACAGGTTGTTATCACTAATCATTTACCACATAAATGATGGATCTTAATAGAGTGGGTATCACACATGAAGGCAAACTGAGACCTAGTCGTGGCTTGAAATCTTACTTTGCTCTTCTACAAAATTTCCAGCTCATACTGCATATGGGCCAAGTTTCTTTGACAATTTGAACAACAGTACAGTGTGCTTTGCTCCATGCTGAAATATAGCACTTATCTCTTTTCTAGCACAAATACAAGGAGCTTCGTCTGAATGTACACTGCTCCAAATCCCTAAATATAACAAACTTGCGGTTGGAGGTAGCTTATTTTCTGCCTGTCAGTGGCTCACAATAAATCAGATGTATTTATTATCTCTATATATCCATCTAGTAATTAACCTACCAGGACCTAAAAAGCAAATAAAACATTCCACAGAAGGTTGAGTTAGCCACTCAAATAATGGTTTTCCCCAAAGAACAAAAGAGTCCCTACAGCTCTCATGGATCTGTTTGACTACTTCCTTTCAACTTACCCAGCTCTCCAAGGGCAAGTTAGGGTAGTTTACACTGCCAAACAGCAGCTTCTGGTCTGACAATAGGTCATATCAATGTTGGCAGCAACACAAAGGAGTCTCATTTTTAAGCAGTTGTACTATTAATGGACAATAGCACATTTGGGACATACAGCCTTTCTTCGGCATCATCCATGCATAATTTGAGGATTTTTTTCTTTGCGTACGAGTTCTCCAAGTGGTCTGCTTGCTGCAATTACAAAGTGAAAAGGATGAACCCCTACCACGTTCATGCACATGGGTACACCCTACACAATCCCAAAATCTGGTTTAGCAATGCAGTGCATTCAGCTCCACTCATCAGGTTAGGGTAGAAACGGGAAACAAACTTAGGCGAATTAACAGAAGTTTCAGCTCTGGTTTTGCTGTGGAGCGTGACTGGGATCCATGCTAGGCAGCGCTGGGCAGGATGAGGGCAGCCTGTTAAGCAGCTCGTCTGGGAGGGCAGCACTGTGTCACACACACCAGAAGCCGTTTCCAGATGCAAGCCCTGGCACGGGGGCAGAGCTCTTCAGGAAGTCTCACACTGCCGTGCGGGTAATAAGGGTGGGTACCGGCATCAGGGAGCTCCCACAGGCAATCAGTGCGTCGCAGATGTGGAAGTGATGCCCTCCTGTTTGCGTCTGCCTTAGGCTCTGCACTAAGTTACCTAACAGATCCCACAAGAGGGCTATAGGTTTGCTGCATGCCTTTAGGATGGCACACGTGCTCTGATTTAAACCGGCACCTAAGCAGCTAACAGATAACACCACAGCTGGAGGGATCTGGCATAAGGTAACTTTCTTAAGCAAAAGATGCTGTGACAGAGCTGTGTAATAGACTGGAAGCGGCCAGCACTGACAGTCAGCTGCAGGGACAGTCAGTGCTTTCAGTGCAGTTCGCGGCAAACCGCTACAACCAAGAAGCAAAAGGAAAACCTCCCAAGCCTGAGTCAGAAAAACGCCTGCTAATGCATCAACCCTTCCCTCCTTTCCCTCTCCAGCCTTTCAGAAAAGGGCTGTCAGAGCAATGAGTAAAAGCTTTCCCAGCCAAATCCCGGCTGCGCTTGTGAAGAACTCCAGGCGCCACAGCACGACAGCTGCCCACATCTCCAGGAACGCAGAGAGCAGCGAGACGGTCGGTGCAAGGCAAACGGCACCGCCGGTCAGTAAGGACTGCTGGATTTCCATAACGCTCCGGCAGGGATGCACACCTGCTCTGAGGCGTTTGGGGATCTGCTGTGCTCGCGTTAAGCTACAGCACAACACAAAGCGCAGCACGCCGCACAGCCCTGCTTAATTAGCCTTCCCAAGAAAAGTCAGCCGGAGCCATATGGTATTTTCCTCAGCACTTACGATAAACTGACCTTGATACTAGCAAAACGCACGCTTCTGTGACTGAGGCAGGAATCACACGCGCGGAGCCCCGCGATGCGCTGGCAGAAAGGCGGCAGAGGAGGCGGACGCGCTATCCCCAAACCCCCGGCGCTCCCAGAGAAGTTAATCAAGAGTAAAACACCCCATTAAAGCCACCGCGAGGAAGCGCCGCAGCGAACAACCGCGGCGCGCTCAGCCCCAGCCCCGCGCCGAGCCGGCGGCCGGGCACCGCCGCCCGCAGGGAGGGCCGCAGCGCGGCGCCGGGCGCGGCGCGGCCCCAGAGGTGCGGACCCGGCGCGGCCGGGCCCCGCGGGACGCCCCCGGCCCGCGGCACTCACCTCGCCTCGGCCGCACCGACGCAGGAGGAAGGCGGGGGGCAGGCGCCCCGCGCTCGGGGCACAGCGGCGGCCGAGCACGCCCCGTCGCTCAGCGCGTAGAGCCCCGCTCCGCAGCGGCGCGAGCACGCAGCCGCCTCCCCGCGCCGCCGCCTGCCGCTGCGGTGCCGACGACGGCAGCTCCCGCCGCGCCCCCGCCGCTCACCGGCACCTGCCCGGGCGCCGGCGGCCAATCGGAGAGCAGGGGCCGGCCGCGGGGCGGGCCGAGCCGGGAAGGCGGGGGCCCGGAGGGTCGGGGTGCTGCTCGCTGCCGCCCGCCTCGCGCCAGTCTCGGGTCGGCTCGCCCCCCGGCCTCCCTTCGTTTCGCTGTGGGGAGCCGTGGCGGCGCGAGGACGAAGAGCGCCTGTCCCGGTGTCAGTGACGGCCGCAGGATGTAGGCCACCAGTGCACGAAATGGAGTTGGGACGAGCCCAGAAAGTCGCGCAGCGCCAGAGAGGGTTAATGTGCTGCATCACTGTCGGCGGCTGTTCCAGTCACCGCGGAACAGAATCACAGAACGGAATCACTCTGCCTTTCTATGTCTGAATGTTTTAGATGCTTGGTGCTCATTCCTAAAAATGTGCTTGGTGTGCAACCCATTCACCTTTGGTTGTCCCCCGCTAAAGGTTCCCTCGAGCTCCACGTGCCCATGGGCAAGCGTGATTTTGGCTGTGCTATGGTCTCTCAAACCGCGTTATCCCACCACAAACATGCCTTCAAGGTGACTGCATGCTGGGCCGCATCCAAAGAAGGGCAGCCATCAGGGTGAGGGAGGAGATTGTCCTCTTCTGCTCAGTCCTTGTGAGGCCTCATCTGGAGTACTGCGTCCAGGTCTGGAGCCCCCAGTGCAGGCAGGATGCAGAGATGCTGCAAAGGGACCAGAGGAGGGCCATGGAGACGATCAGAAGGCTGGAGCACCTCTCCTAGGAAGAAAGGATGAGGAAACTGTGCTTGTTTAGCTTAGAGAAGTAAAGGCTCCAGGCAGACATCGTTGCGGTCTTCCAGTACTTGAAGGGAGCTCGTAATCAGAAGGGAAACTGACTTTTTATGCAGTCTGATAGTGATAGGACAATGGGGAATAGCTCTAACTGAAAGGAAAGATTTAGACTAGATGTCAGGAGGAAAACCTTTATGAAAGGGGTGGTGAGGCATTGGCACAGCTGCCCAGAGAAGCTATGGTGCCTCATCCCTGGGGGTACTGGATGGGGCCATAGGCAGCCTCATCCAGTGAATGGCAACCCTGTCCATGGCAGGGGGTTGGAAATGGAGGGTCTTTAAGGTCCCTTCCAGCTAAGCTATTAAGTGGTTCTATGATTCTATGAATATTGGTGGCTTGTGCACAACAAAAATGCTCCTTAGCCAGAAGCAGCAGATCGGAGCTGCCTCGCAGTACTGCTCCATACACCTCTGTGGGTGCTGCACACAGCCACGTGCAGAGGTGTCTCATGCTGAACGTGAGGCCAGGTGGTGTGCAATAATGGAGGTGTGGCATGGTCATTCATTCCAGCCATCAGTGAGTCACTGCTGTAACGTGAAACTGCTTTTTATCCACCTTGTATCACTGCAGCTTGTACTGTATCGGACTAATTACTTTTCCCCTGGTGTTATTTTTCATCCTTGTTTCTCATGCTTGTTTAACTTCATTTTAAAATAGCTGCAGCTGTTCACTGCAAGGTACTTTTTTATTTGATCTCAGTTGAAGTGCTCTGTCAAGACAGATGTACTCAATAAATCTTGGCAGATTTTCAAGGAAAATGTTGTCTAGGATTATATTTTTGTTTACGTTAATGTCATGGTATTACAAATAAACTGGTTTATCAAACATTTAGTTCTCTGCTAACCTACACGTGTCTATGTTGCATTTAGTTCTCTGCTAACCTACACGTGTCTATGTTGGTGAAATGGGTGCCACTCCACAAGACAAACAGAACTCTGCAAGGCAAACGACTCCTATTTCCAAAGCATTTGTAAAAAGACTTACATTTTCTGAATCAGCTATTTTGTATTTCCCAAAAGCATACAGAAGTATGTATTTGGGTATTTTCCAAGCAGACAAAAACTTGTTACTTCTTTAAGTAAGAGCAAGAAAGGAGACCGACCATCTTCAGAAGAAACGTTTTTCATGAGCAACATGACATGGCAACAAATCAGGACTGACTAAATATAAAGGTCACTCACGGCCTGGTTTGGGATAGTAATCAATAACAAGCACTGAGCATTTCTGAATAACTGAAAAAATACCTGGGCAGAAATCCATCTCCAATCTCATATTTCTAAGCTGGATCACTGAAATAACAATATGGTTTGGAATCAGCCATCAATATCAATTATATATAATGCTTATGATTATACAACTCCTAGATCAAACAGAGGAAACTGTTTTGCACACTCAAGCTAATAAACTACTATGAGTTGAATAATTAATAATGTTTCATTCACATAATTAGACACACAGAGATCTTACAGCTTTCTCTATAACATTTCTGCTGCAGTGAAGATGAAGTGTTGGGCTAGAGGCTCTTCTGTGCCCACTGCTGTAGCAATCGGTATGTTTTCAGTTTGCCCCATTACTCCATGGGGTAGGTACTAACTTATACTACACTTAAACCAGCTGTCGAATACTGCGAGAGTAACTAAGAGAGGAGGAAGAGAAAATCCATGCATAAGAGAAGAAATACTGGAGTGGCCTTCTGGATTGTATGCTGGGCTTCTCACTTTGCCTGCTTCTCATTCCTATTGGATGTCCTGTTGGTCTTCACCAACTGCTTTTGATGTCTAACTTCAGAAAAAAACACTGCATCAGCTGTGAGTATTTTCTAGTGGATATCAGCTTTTTAAAAAAAGAAAGAAAAAAAAAGACAAGAATGAGTAAAATCATCTTTTCACGTTTACAAGCAAAATCAGCTTTCTGCTCTGTATTCCTTTCAGTGAGGCAAGGGCCAGATTTCTGACTTTCCTGATATTGCATGTTTCTTCTTAATAAATGAGGGTCTTAAACTTGCTAAGTTTGCTTCCTGAGTGTCCTCAGCCTTAGTGAAAGAAGTAGGGCTTTTAGGCTGAAAGAAGGAAATTAGGTTTGGAAAGTGTGAGTACCTGTTAGAAGGACGCATGTTAGCCACAGGGAGCAATTATGAATTTATGTCAGCCCATTGCCATCTCAAGGCAGAATATAAAGTCATAAGTAATTAAATTTCTCTTGCTTTCAATAGATCTGTTAAGACCTCAAAGTGTTTCCATAAGATGCAGTGAACAGTAAGTTGATAGTAATTCCCTGGAAGTCATTGTAACCTATTTATTACTTTATGGTCTCAAAGAACTTCATAAATACAAATCACTTTATAAAGTGTGTATGTAACAGAGTGTATTACGATCATTCAGTTAAGCCAATTAAGTAACTCACAGCCATAAGCAAATAGGAAAGAAGTGAAAGAGCTGAGAATAATAGGCACATTTTTAATAGTCTATAATATGTGCAGCGTATGCTTTGATATGGCACTTTGCCATGACTTTTCTTCAGAAACGCCAACAGCCTCATTCCCAGCCCCATGAGCCTCATAATGAGGGAGTGAAAAGAGAAAAAGAAAAGAGTGGAGAAGACAGAATTAGGATTATGGACATAAATTAGTAAAGAAGACAGCTTGAAGAAGTTTGCCCATTGAACTGGCAGCAGAACTTAGGCGAGCCAACACTTTGAAGCATTCCACAGTCTCAAAACTGGGAACACAGTTCCCAGACAGGCTGTAACTGATGCAGGAAAATGATTTCTTGTGACCAGCAGGGGGTAGCGAGGGGGAGTGGTGGTGGGAGATGTCTTTTTTTTTTTCCCCGTGGTGGTCAGTTAAAAGGTAACAGCAAGGATAGAAGCTACCAAGAGGGTTGGCAAAGCAACAAAAATGGTGCTTAAGCGCTATGAGCTTCCTATCATTGCTAAGGAAAATAATCAGAACAGGAAGAAAAGTCTCAGGAGAGAGCATGGTGCTGATAGGACCTATGTTACTGCAGATTTCCTCATTCATACAGGCTGTCTAAATGGAATCTTGAAGCTGTCCAAGGAAAGTGATGCATGCAGTGAAATGAAGGCTCCTCCCTTATGCCTGCCAGCAAATACATATGCATGAAGACAAGACTCAGCTCTTACATTTCTGCAAGTGGAAAACTCTTTGAAAGACATAGTGAGTTCTCCAGTTGCTGTAAAGAACATACTTCTTGCCTGGGGCTGAAACACACAAGGCAAGTGTCCCTCATCCTTGGTTGTGCTACAGCCATCCTTACCTGCAGCTGGCCCCACCTTTCAGGCAGTAAATCCTCCCTTCTCAACAACAAGCAGTAGCATCAGGGATGGGGATACTGAAGTTCTTTGGAGCTGAACATGCATCCTGTGCAAAGCAGCACTGATGGTGTGGCACCATCTCTTGTATGGTTCTGTGCTGCTATGTCCACAGATTAAGAAAAGAGAGAGAGAGAAATCTGCACAGTACTCAGGAGAGGAATGAGAAGAAGCACATGAGTCTAGCCACCAGGAGAATGTTCATCCTAAGTCAGCTTTGATTTCACAGATTCAAACATCCTGTTTATTTAAACAGGAGCCAGCATTGGTTTTGGCTCAACTTGTTCCTCTTGTGCTTAGAGGCATTTTCTTTTAGCCTCTTTTGTTTCTTTGGACCAGAATCAACAGGTGGCTCTGGGAAGTTTTGGGTCAACACAGAAAGGTCTAAAACCTCCTTCCCTGACTGTCTAGCTTCCTGGTTAAATTCTCCAGCAGTGTCAAAAATTGTTCATTTGCTTTTAGACATAGCTTTTACCACCTTTGATGCTCAGAGCCAGACTACAGTCAAGTAGGTTATTCTTCATAGAAAGACCTATTAAACATCCTTCTGATTCAAAGAAATGGAACTTTTTCATTACTTGAACTTATTAAAAATTAATTTTTAGAATCTGTCATCATCTCAACTGCCTTGGGCTAAAGCTGCCAAATGTAGGTGGTGTTCTTCAGAGGTTTTTTTCCCCTCTTATGATAACTCTATACAAACTACCCTCAGATGCAAAGATTATGCATTATCTAATCCCCTGCTTGTATTTTACAAGCAAAATCACAGC